AATCAAAATCATCTCATGACCATTTTCGTCTCCCAAGTCCTTAAAAAGGAATCAAAATAGTCTCACCATGAGTCAAGGGACCCTTTCGATAATTTTCTCAAATGAAATTTTATTGCACAAGTTGGCATACAAAATTCCATAGAAAAAAAAAAGATCATCGAAAACATTAATGATGAGGAAATCTGCATAAGATTTCGGTGCATATACAATCGCAGGAATCGTAGATCGACGGCTACGATTCAGAGTCTTTATTTATGAAGCATTATATGTATTATTTTATTTTTGTGTCTTAGTTTTACCATTGTACCCTTATAAGGGCTTAGTTCATATGATGTAGCCCTAAGGGAATTTCAGTCTTTGTATTTCTTTTATTTTAGACCTATATATAGAGGTCTTCACTATTGTCTGAAGAATGATTTGATTAATGAAAGAATTTTTCAGCCTTCTTGTTCCTCTTGAGTATTGAGAGCTCTAGAGAGAGAAGTCCCTAGGTGAGGGCAAAAGCAATACCTGTCAGTCGTCGGAAGAGTTCGGGCTCACGGTCTATCTCCCCATCCTTTCCCCACCACCGGCCAACCCTTCTCTTCCAACCCATCGGCCTCCTCCCATCACCACCCCAAACCGCCGGTCAAATTCCCCCCTCCACCTTCTCCATCGTCGGCCTCCCTTCTCCCATCCAACCCACGGCCCAATCCCCACCACCTAGCCCCTCCCCCACCAAACCCAAGACCCACCTTCTCTCCCCTAGCTGCCGACCTGCCCAACCTCACCCCTAGCCGCCGGCCTACCTAGTCCCAAGTCCTTGATTTCAAATTCGAATTGCCTCCTAATCACTATCATAAATTATCCAAGTATTGATTTGGAAAGTTTCTTAATTTGAATTCAAACATATTTGAATTTCAAATCCTTTCCTAATTGATAAATCTAATTTAGGCAATCTTCCTTAATCAACTTAAATTTGAAATTAATTCAGATTTCATTCTCCAATCAACAATTAAAGCAAGGGTCCACATACATCGAATGTGGACACCCTTTCCCCCTCTTCCTTTGGTCGGCCCCTCCCTCTACTTTTCTCTCTCCAATTAATCCCCCACCCCCTCTCTATTAATTAAATCCCCTTAATCCCTCATTTAAGTCATCGGCCCCTCTCTCCACTCCCACTTAATTAATCCCCCATTAAGGGAGATTTGAATTTCAAATATTTCCTCCTTTTCCACTTACAGAAAAATATGAAATTAAATTCAGATTTTAATTGATTACCTCCCCTCCACCTAAAAGAAAAGCCAAAAATCCAAGAGGCCTCATCTTTTAGTCTTAGTCCAAATTTTCCACTCCCGTCTTCACTCTTTTCTTCTCTTCTCCACTACTTCATACACCTCCAAGGGTTTGTGGGCTCCGAAAATTCGGCCCCAGCCTCCGCCCGCAACTATTGTGCTTTTATCTTTTCGAGTGAGAAGTTTTAACGAATTTAAGTTTCGGGGTAAATTTTGGGAAGGCAGATGGGTTTGTAGATAAGACACTACCCAGAGATTTCGCCCTCATTTTGCGAGGACTTTATGATATGGGTTCTGGTTTCCTATAGGCGCAAGCCCCTATAGTTAATTACCCCTCCCGGTAACGAGGAGAACTTTCGATTAAGGCTAGTCATCAATCAGATACGTTGTATCCATAGATACGTAGTATCAAGCATATAGTAGCAGCATTGGGCTTTGGATGTTGAAAGTTTGAAGGGTTGAAAGATTTATAAATTTAAAATTAGAGATTTCACCATTTTGCACTTAAAGTGGATGGTGGGGGAATGGATGATGGACCCGATCAAGATCTTTTGGTTCCGTCATCCAGGGTCATCGTGGTCCCTGGTCTACTTAGTCAGAGGAGGTAGTCGACCCAACCTGACAAAAAGATCCTTGTCGGCAGCCATGGGTTGCTTTGTTCAAGGGTACCTTATAGACCTGTGATGAATGTTTGTCTAAGAGGACAAATTTGAATCCACCATAGCTAACAAAGGGCTTTGTGCCATATCGATCATATCCTATTGATTCATATCTCAAGGGTTTGATGCCATTAAAGAACGTATCGGCTCTGACCATAACCGGTATTTCGTGGTGCCATTTGGCGGCAAAACCACTCGGTTCAGAGGGCCCCGGGTCATAACCATTTATCCTGCGGTGTCATTTAACGGTAAAACCGCTGATTAGAGAACATGTACCACGTCCTTACTAGCAGGAGATTGTTTGAGAATAGATCCTAGTGATATTTTCTACTAGGCATTTGACTCTATGTGAGCTGAAGTTATATTCGAATTTGTCCACCTCGGCAAACTATTGCGGAGGGTGGATGTATTTTGCTTTTAAGTGGTTGGATTGATGAATCTAAATTTTAAATATCTAGACTTTTGGGATTTTTTGGATTTTTTATATTTTTGGATTTTGGATTTTGGATTCTTGTGGGTATTTGAGTGGAGCTTTGAATGCATTTGAAAGTGTTTGTGAACTCCTCTGGTTGAGATAAACATTCAACACGGTCATCATCGGGTGTACTTTTGAGGTCATTTCCACTTGAAAATATTTATATTTTATGGATGAACATTGTCTACTCTATCGAGCTATCGACAGAGGATCGAGTTTCGTAGGCTTTATGCCTTTATTAGTGAATTCTCATTATTATAGGCCTTGAATGTCTAATATGAATGTATTAAAACAAATATATCGGTCGCCATTACCGTATATTTACTTGTTGGTTCGAACCCTGTTAACTCCTATTGATCATCACAGAAAGATCGGGTTCGAATTTGAATTCACTTATCAACCCGCGCGGCATCCCTAAATGTCACGTGTGTACCAATAACACGCTCGTCGGGGCCCATGCGGGTGTTTGGGGGGCCTTTAATGATTATTTACTTAACCTTGTCGACTCCTATTTACCTGCTTAGGAGGATTGGGTTCAAATTTATTGACCCGCGCAGCCTAGACGTCACGTATGTATCCAAAACACGCTCGCCGGGGCCCATGCGGGTTTTGTGATTGCATTTACCCATTGTGTACCTATGTGCATATAAACTACGGTGCACGTACGGGAGTATTTTTGGAATATTTAGAGACGCCTTTTATCCACTTGCATAGATGTTGCGGATCTAGTGGCCTGGCGTAGCATCTTCTGAATAGAGTTATTCGCTGCTTTACACAGGTAGATTGACGTGCACTACTTGTTATTTTATATAGGGGATCATAGTGCACTAACGAATCTCCTGCTTTTGGCTCGTAGGAGCTTGCGCTTGCTTAAGGTCTTTTTTATTTGTTCGAGGGTAGCACTCTAAGGACATGACGGGTCCCTTACGACAGTTCGTAGTATTTGCATTCGTCATAATTATTTAACATTTTGCTTGTGGTCAATATATTTGGTGTATGACAAGTCTTGCTCAGCAGATCATAAATGCTCATATTCATTATACTCAAATAAACTTTTGTGCGTATATGACATTTTGCATACATGACGGATTGAGGGGTTTCTTACAACCCCGCAAACATTTGCACTTATTGATTGTTATATCTTGTACGTTTGAGTTCGTCACATGTCACCTATTAAATTCTTCTACTCGTAGGTGATACACTTTTTCAACGATTTAGCGTGGTGTGCATACTTTAATTAGGGGTCGTACAACCCGTGACACATAAGAGTGCGATATTTTGTTTCTTTTTGAAGACATATGTTCGCAGGATGTACGAGCCGCCTAACTTTAATAGTTGGTGTGCACGCTATTTAGAGCACCCGTAACTTGCAATGTGACAGACATTTTTTATCTTATCACAAAGGGTTCAACCAGAAAATTACCGGGGATGTGCGGGGATTCCTACGTGTTTATAATTAACATAAACACATTTTGTATGAAAGGTAAATTTTTTTTTTTTTACTTTTATTTTTACCTCCCCCCCCCCCCCCCCCCCCCCCCCCCCCCCCTTTTAAGATAATTATCAACTGTATTCATGTGTATTTACGGTCGTATTTCACCTGCTGGTGAATACTCTAATAGGAATCCAAGGTTGAAGCCTCGAAATGGCATCTTAGAATCCTAAGCTGGTGGGGCCCGTAGGCGTACCTTCTATGTCTTTTAGCAAGGGGATCCTAGGCTGGCGAGGCCTACATGTGTACCTTCCCTGTCTTGTAGCAAGGGGATCCTAGACTGGTGGGGCCCGCGAATAATTCAAATTCAATATTATAAATAAGAGGGAATTTCAATTCATTTCTTCCCATAAGATTTTTGTAAGGAGCTTTTGTAGGGGACTTAGGTGTGCAAGTCAGGAGTTAGGAGAAAGAGGCTTGATTCCTACCTATTGGCGAACAACTAATTCCCTTGAAGATTCACTGTATGTTGCACTTCACATTGATTTGGATTTCTTTTATTTTTGTTTTCCAGTGCCGAGAGCCTAGGGCGTCGCATGTTTTATTTTTTTGTTGACTTAGAATTTTAAGTGGATTTTAAATATTTTTGAAATTTTCTAAGTTGTTGGTTATGTTGAAAATTTTGACAGCACCCCAACGTCGTCCTCATATAGACATCAAAGCACAACAGCAACTAAGAAATCCTAGATTCCTATCTTTTTGAAACATTAAGTTTAAATTTAGCAAAGCTTAACAAGCTGTTATTAATTCATAAGCAATTCATGTTTCCATATATGTTTCACATCAATTAAAGTATAAAGAATACAAAACAAATCATCTTGTAACCACTCTATCACACCTTAGGAATATGAAAAGCGGTAAACACTAATACTACTAGATCTTGAATCACAAGACATGTTAAGAGACAAACTAAGCAAAGCAGCTTTATATTCACATAGGAAAAATTCATATATGAACACATGTAAGAAAAAAAGTATAATCATAAATATAACAAAATGAAATTTTATTGCGCCAATTTTATGTTTGAATAGAGTTAGCATGCCAAATTTCATGGAAAAAAGGATCATAGGAAACATCAAAGTATAGAGAATAATAAATACCACTGAATGCTGAGGAAGCTTTTGGAGACGTAAAGTCACTTCTGTTATAACTCCCAGAGTGCCTTCACTTCCAATCATCAGCCGAGTCAAATCATACCTAAAGAGTAAATGTTTGAATGAATTAGCTGCATCTTCTGCTACTCAAAAACTGTTATGTTCTTATTAGAAGAAGCACGTTACACAAGAGAAACAGAAGTTCAGACAAACATTCTCATCAAGCTTTAAGGCCAATTAAAAATGTCAAAAAATTGAGACAATAAGGGATTCGATGCAGTCTTTCAAAGAAAGATTTAATCAGGATTTGAATAGCAATTACTCTAGGATATTATAAATAAATGCATCGATCGGAGTGCACCCATATTAATGAGTGCAATGACATGCAGCACAATATTTTGTGACAAACACCTTTGGAATTAGAAGTAAAAACATGGAGATGGAACAATAACTTCATTTCCTAAAGAATAATTCAATTACTTGAATATAAGCAAACCTCTAAGGAAGGGCTGCTAAGAAAATTGGATCTTTGCAGGAATGTGAACCATCAATAATATAGGACAAGTTACACACATATTAATGCTTATTATTCTAATTAAGGGAGCTTCAACATACCCAGCAGCACTCTTTCGAGCACGAGCAGCTGTCTTAACAACATCTCCATTTCCCAAAACTACCTAAGATGAAACACACCTAGAAATAAGGATGAAAACTGAAAAACACAATTATACGGAAGGTAAAACAACAAAAAGTACCTGGAGATTAATGACATTGTCCCGCATAGTTCCATACCTAAAAACTGATTATTAAATCCTAAAATCCAATTAAAACTGAGTTTGTCCTATTCTTGAACTAAAATAACATTCACGGTAATAGATTTGTAGCAGAATTTGAGGTTTTAATAGATTGCATTGAACAAACAAATATAAAAGCCAACCTTACTGCTAAAGACCCAGAACAACGAGTAGCGCACATGCCTCCAATGGTAGCGCCAGGCCCTAAATTGAAAGAATAAAGAGAATAATGTAAAATAATGGTTCATGTATTTCCCAAAATACTTCAATACTGAGGAATGAAAAGGAAAGTGTACCCAATTTCAAGATCAGACCTTCTTATTGTAGTATCTTAACACATTTTAATAGGCAATAAAAAGTTGGAATTTCTACGAAACCATTTTCTTTGGTTTAATAACATCATACTCTCGGAATTTTGAGACCATTTTTCTCTTGTTTAATAACATCATACTTTCCGAATAGCCCTTATGTCCATGTTTAACATATTAATGACACAATAGAATAAAAGCTGAAATAAACAACTTTTGTCACCATGATTATCACTAATCCAAAAAATAAAGTCATAAATGTTTATAAAATGTACAGTACTTCAAAGAATTCTACGCAAATCCATTTGAAAAAAATGTTAGTCATGCATTTCCAATTGGCTCATATATCAAGGGTATGTCCCGCTTCAATGAATCTCCTCAAGAACTTATTATTGACCTTATGCCCTTTTAAAAAATACATGGGATAGATTTCTATCCTCTAAAAAAAAGTCCAAAGAATTCTATGCAACTCATGAATAACAAACAACATGAGAAACAAAACGCTAATGGCATGTGGCCTACTGGTGTTTACTCTCACTTACAATTCCAGTAGCGTGGATCAAGCGGAAAGAAAAGACCATAAGAAAAAAACAATAAGAACACATACTAGCCTGGATCAAGCGGAAAGAAAAGACCATAGGGTTTCAAGTACTCATTGAGTTCCATCCATCCAATCCCTGGTTCAACAACTACGTCCATGTCCTCAATATGCAATGCTTTTATGTTCTGCAGCATGGAAAGAACATAAGATGAACCTGTCAAATGGTTGGAAACTTGGAATAGATATCTAGATTAAGGTGACTAAGACTTTGTTTGTGAGTGTGTGATGTATTGTGCTCTATTACATTGTTTTGTGCTATCTAGTAAAGCGGATAACCATTTTGTTAAATCAATATTTAAAATGTTGTCTATACTACAACAACCTAAAATTTTGAAAATGATTTTTAAATGAACTTTTGAAATTCTGTTTGAACTGGAGCATAGCGGCGTTGTGCTTGTGAGCACAGCTGCGCTATTTGAAGAGCACGACAGCGCTAGAAATCTCCGTCGCAACATTAGAGGATCTATTTTACAGTAACTCTGAAATACAAGCAACGCAGCGGCGTTGGGTTGGAGCGCCGTGGCGCTAGAACTAAAAATATTTTTTTAATATATTTTTTTTTTCTAAATATCCCTCACATCCACACATCCCTCTCTCACTCTTGTTTACTTGGTGACCATTTTGACGCTGCAGTGCTGTCAAACAGAGAAGTCTGCAGTGCCATGTCAATATTGTGGCACTCTGGCAGTGTCCTTGAAAGCACTACAGCGTTGATTAGTCAGACGCCGCGGCACTTAATGATACTTAGAATTTTGTGCCTTTTTGTATTTTTCATACACAACACAATTAAAACAGTATGTTTTCATTGAAATATAATACATTATTTATATTTATATACATTATTTATATAAAATAATACATTATTTATATTTATCACTTTGCCAGGAAGGAAAGGAAAGAAGGGGAGGGGAAGAAGGATGAGAGAGAGAGAGGAGAGAGGAAGTCCGTCAAGGTTTCTCATCCATCGTTTCTGTTACGAAAATTATTCTCCTCGTTGTAAGTAACTATTCTTTTACTTCTATTTTTTATGGTTTTGATTTCTATGAATTTTCTCTCCTAAATCTGCCAAAAATTGCACTATATTCTAATTTCATAGGATTTCACCGAGTAACTTTTGAAATGTTATAGAATATGATGCACCGACACTTCTCCCCAAAGAGACGTGCAGTGTCCAACACGGCACGCATCTGACACGTGTCAGACATGGCAAAAAAAAGTCAACAACAACATCAAGCCTTTATCCCACTACGTGGGGTCGGCTACATGAATCCTTTTTCTCCATTATGTCCTATTAAAGGTCAAATTCTCGTTTAAATCTAATAAAGAAAGGTCATTCATAATATTTTCTAACCAAGTCTTTTTAGGTCTGCCTCTACCTTTCTTAACATAAGTCAAATCTAATACCTCTACTCGCCTAACCGGGTCATTGGAAGGCCTCCGTTTTATGTGACCAAACCATCTAAGGCGACTCTCTAATCTTATCTTCTACTAGAGCTACTCCAACCTTTTCACGTATATGCTCATTTCGTATCCGATCTATAAGGGTAAAGCCACTCATCCACCTGAGCATCCTCATTTCTGCCACACTTAACTTAGTATTATGCTTCTCTTCTAATGGCCAACATTCAGCACCATAAAGCATTGCAGGCCTCACTACCATCTTATAGAATTTTCCCTTAAGTTTGAGGGGTACTTTTCTATCACACAACAAGCCCGATGCATTCCTCCACTTCAACCATCCAACTTGAATTCTGCTGATAATATCACCATCTATTTCACCATCACTCTGAACAATAGATCCAAAGATGATATCATCCACATAAATTTGAACAATGAGTATTTTCTTTCTAAATTTCTTTAAGAAGAGAGTTGTATCCACACTTCCTTTTTCAAAAGATCTTTCAAGTAGGAAAGTGCTCAATCTCTCATACCAAGCCCTAGGTGCCTGTTTCAATCCATATAATGCCTTTTTTAACTTAAAAATATGATTTGGGTATTT